ATCAGGGGTGAATTTGCACAGTGGATTTCTAAATGCTGGGCACTGGGCTCCGAGCCCAGTAGCCAACACTCCTGTGAGTGGGGAGAGTGTGCTCCTCAGCCCTGTGGGGGGGGGGTGATAGGTGAAGCACTACACTGTCCACAACTGAGAAAATGACTATACTGCATTATTTTCAAGTCCAAACATTTCCCCAAATGTTTGTTTGATTTACAAATGGAGTCACACACACACACACAAACAAGGAAATGTTTATTTTAGCTCACAGTTTCTAGAAGTTTCAGTCCAAAGTTGGCTGGCTCCAAGGTATGGCAGCGGGGAAGAAGGATGTCACAGAGAAGAAATATCTCATGGTGCAGCAGGCAGGGGGCAGCAAGCAGCAGCAGCATGTCTTTCTCTTTCATCCCATCCAGGCTATAAACCTACTGGATGGTGCAACCCACACCTCGGGTGGGCCTCCCCATTATCCACACCCAGAACTAAACTAAACCAATCAGTGGACTACTTTAGTTATCACACACCCTTAATCCATATTCACATACCCTAAATCCAGCCACCTCTAAAAAGCTGCGCCTGTGAGTGTATGAGGCTCTAGGGGGACATCAAGATAGAAACCATAGCAGGCTTTGTCAAGGAAAGTTCTAGACCTAATCTGAAAGCTGCACAAATCATCTGATTTCAAGCAGGGAATGAAAAAAAAAAAAAAAAAAAACCACTCAGGGAGTCCCTTTGGCGGGACTTCTTTCACTGAGTCACAGAAAAGAACACTAGATGAGATAATATCAAAGGAAAACGATGGGTGCCACCTAGTGGCACTAAACATAGGGCTAACACTGTACTTACAGAAGATTTTCCTTTCTCTGTTTAAGAAACTCTGTAGAGGGCTTCAATAATAATAGCCTTTGGCTGCTTTTCGAAGTAGATGTGCTTGTCTGTTGAAATGAGATAAAATAAAAATATCTAGGACTGTATAGCCAAATGGAAAAAAATATACAAAAATTGCATTCACTTTTTACTTTCTCTACTGGCTAAATTCCAAAGAGATCAAAGACATAATATAAAAAAATGAAACCATAGCAGTACTACAAAAAGTTAGTAAACAAAACCAGCATAAGTATTCACATGAGCGAATTCCTTTATAACTTGGATGTTGAAGAAACATTTCTTCCTGTGATCAGAATCGAGAAATGTTAGGGAAACAAATTGACTAACTATAATATAAACAAAGAGAAAAAAGCAAAGCAAATAGTTCACAAAACTCATACTACAAAGGACTAATATACAAAAGGTTTCCAATTTTTTAAAAAAGCGCTGTAATAGCGAATTTTTAAAAATGTAAATAGCTGCTCTCCCCTTATTGGTTACCTTTTTAATAGATTTTGGCCTATCTTTCCAGTGTTTATTTTTGAAAACATAAGCAAATATGTATGTATTTCTAATTTCCCTTATACTAAAAATAATATACTACACATTCTTTTTTTACCTTGGCTTTTTCACTTTACTTCATAACTGTGCATCTTTCATATTTCTTATCAGGTTCATAATACTTTATTGTATGCATGTACCATTTGAAAAATGCCACAACTCAATCATAAAAAGACAAATGTTTTAAACTATATTGAATTATCATTTCCCACTAATCAAACCAGTAACAATCTAGTAAAATTTTGGCCATCCCTGCTATCAGAGAGGCTGTAGGGAAACAGAAACTGTCAACTATTGTTGGGGTGAATACAAAAATTGCAATAGCTGTTATGAAGGAGAATTTAACAATGTTAAACAAAGTGACGTGTTCTTTTATCTTTGAACTAGCAGTCTCATTTGTAGAAATTTATGCTAAAGATACATTGGCAAAAGCATAGTATATATGCTCAAGGAATCTTTTGAAATAGTAAAGGACTAAAAACAGCCAACATATCTGTAAGTATGGGCCTGGATAAATAAGCTATAGTACACCCATTTATTTAAAACATAGTATTGTGACTGTACATCCCTAGTGGAGTACAGGAAAAGAAAAAAGCACATTTAAAAAAAATCATTCATCAGTCATATCAAGATCAGTACTGTTACTGTAGCTTAAATTATTGTTATTGTTTTTACATATGTATATATGATGAGCATAAGTAAATCAAATAGGCAATTATGCTAATATTAGGAACCTTTTTTTCTTTTTATTAGTACACTTTTGCAGTACACGCAGTTTACAATCATCTTGGGGAGTGGGTACATATACTTAATACAATCTTTCATTTTTAATCCCCCACCCTTCTCCTTTAATTTTCTTCTGCTCAGTTTCATTCTTGTTGATATTATCATTCCCAGCACAGGTTTATAGTATATATTTACATTCCTTGAAGTTATTAGGTTAAGAACCAATATTTTTATCATAAGAGAAAGCAGACAAAATACAAAATCAGAGTGCGCAGCTTTAAAAAAGGATTTGGACCTTTAAAAAGGCACTTAATATCCAAGAGCGGACTTGAGTCTTTAAGAAAATCTGAGCCTTCTATAAACCCAGCACAATGTGCAATTTGGAGGGTTGAGGCTAAAGACAATATAAAGTTATTTTTAAGGTTACGTCTGAAGGAAGCAAGAAAGAAAAGGAATACGTTCAATTTTATCTCAGACGCACTACTTCTTATAAAAACTTGGCTTTTTCTGTGGACCTTTGCATTCTGAATGCTGCTGCCACCCAGCCATTTTACCTTCACTTAAAAAAAAAAAAAGTTCTTGAAAAGTTTTATTAGCGCATGTTTGCAGGATACGATGATTGTGAGAAGTTGGTTTAGGTGCATACACATTTTAATCCTTTTTATTTCCCCTTTCCTCCTCGGTCCCCTTAACCTTAACTTTTGACAAGTTAATTTCTACTGATTCTTCAGATCAGTATCACTGACACATTGCTTTCCTTCACCAAGTGAAATATAATAGACTATGATCATATACTTTCCCTAGTGCACTTCTCTCTACTAATAAGGGTCCCAAATTCCTCTTCCCTTCAAGGTCTGAAACTCTACTTTTGCTCATCATCCTACACTACATAACTGGCACTCAATAAACAATTTCAAAAATAAAGCAAAATGTTTACCTTCCAATTTGTTCCTACCTCTTCATTCACAGACTTCTTTAGATTGAGGAGGGTAGAATAAATAAGAACTTGAACTCCAAGAGGAGTAAAATGATTCCAAGAAAACATTACCTTCTTAAATTCATTCGTTGAGCAAATACTCATTTAGCCTCTGGCATGACGGTATTAGTCAAGGAGGACCAATACAGCAATACAGTAGTGAAGTTCCATAGTTCCTCTTGAGATCGCATGAGGAGGGTGGATAGCAGTAAAGTTAAATACTATATTGAGTGTATTTAAATTGAGTGTATTTAAATTAGTGGCACATGACTGTAATCCCAGCACTTGGGAGGCTGAGGCTGGAGGGTTACAGTGAATTCGAAGCCATCCTGTTCCACAAAGCAAGACAATGAATTAATGAATGAACGAATGAATGCAAGTTTCCCACTGTCAAAGAATTCCTAGAAAACAGAACATCATGATAGGTTTGCTGATGTTCGGCAACAGAAAAGCAGCTAGGGAACAAGAGCCCGGCAATGCACAGGGAATGCTACCAGTCAACCAAGGACATGGGGCGGGGGGCTCTTCCTGGTTTTCTAAATCCACTACAACGACTATTTCCTACACTTCGCACCCCCGCACTCATCTCTCTCATGACAGATTTTTGTTGTACTTGGCTGCTTATACAATAAGACTTAAACATTGCCACCAGTTCCGAAATAAGGTACAATTCTCATAGTTCAAATTCTCTCCCACTGTCTTGTTTAGATTTACAAAAACAAGCATTTGTGAATTCTTACTCCGATTGTCTCACCTTGGCCTCCGTAGAATCGGTTTAATCCGAAAGAGGACCTTCTGTATAGTGAGTTGTCTATTATATCTCCCCTAATCTATTGCCTGAAGAGTAGCCCGGATAAATTTAAACAACCTCCAGTATTTTTCTTCAAAAAAATATGACAATTAAGGAATAAGTGAAACTCATTTTTTAATGTTTCTTATGTTTACCCACCACACCCTTTGTGGGTTCCCCTTCTCCCTAGCCTTTCTAGACAGGCAGCCTCTGGCCACCCTCCGAGGGGCCTGATTTTTGAAAAGAGTAGTTGACCAATCAGGTGCGGTGCTCTGTTTGGCGCTGCCATTTGAGCCTGGGCTGGGACTGCGTCGGGTCGCTGGCCGGGGCCGAGTGTCTGTGGGGGAGGTGGGGTCGGAGGCGTGAGCCGAGCTCCCCTGCTTTAGTGCACCGGGATGTGCGGGCGGGGCGCCGCAGGCTGGCTCATGGGGGAGAGAAGAAGCACCCTGTGAAACGGGGTGCCGGCGA